AATATTAAACATGTGTCTGGGCGTTGTTGCTAAGTGCCCTAATAGCCGAAAAAATTTTAAATTAATTTCCATGTATTTTTTAAAAATATCGTTTTCTACCTTTGTTCTGCTTGTATTTCACGGTTATTATGTATATCAATCATTTTTTCCCAAAATTACAAAATAATATGCAATAAGGAGATAGATATATAAAAGTTTACAAAAGAAAAGCGCTTCCGTAAAGTAGGCCAGAAAAAGTAGTTTTCGGATGAAACTATTCGGATTCGTTTTAAGTAGTAGTTTATAAGCAAACAAGATATATACATTTTTGGGCTGGATCAAGCGGAGGAGGAAACTTTTTCTTCCATGTCCGATGTTCCAGTTAACAAATTCATAACTCCTCCGTGTATTAACCAATGCCCACGGTATTAGAACCGTTGGAAAGCTGCATTTATCTGTTTTCAGCATATAACGACATTATTTGTTTTTATGCCATTATAATTGAGAAAAATAAGGATGAAATTGAAAAAAACCTCCACAAACGTTTTATTTTATATCTCCTCTTCTGATTTATTTATTGAGTGAATGTTTATGCCATTACGTGTAGGTTGTAAGATGCTTCGCTTTAAAGTTTGCAATTGACAAAGTAAAGTTAGCATCATTGAGGATTTCAATCAGCGAAATATTTTCTCTCTCTCTCTCTCTCTCTCTCTCGTCTCTCTCTCTCTCTCTCTCGTCTCTCTCTCTCTCTCTCTCTCGCGCGCGCGCGCGCGCACATACTCAAGACGTCTTGTAGGTTGTCGTTTTAGAAAAAAGTCAATGGTTAGGAAAACCTTCGCGAGGAGCGTTGACATGTTTTCATCATGACATGAGGTCATGTGTCAAGGTGTTTCTAAGTCTCATCCTCGTTGTCTTAAATGTTCACGAGATATTTACTCAAATTGATACGGCCGAAAAGACATTATAATCGTATCTGAACCATTTTCAGCATAGGAAAAGTTCGTTACTCGGCCGAAACTGACCATCAAACTCGTTTTACTATGTAACAAAATTTCTTAACGTTTTTAATCTATTGATAATTATGCGACTTCTAAACATATCGAATGAGTCAGTGAAATAAATTGGAACATTCAACGGTATAATTGTGTGTAACATTGCCAGTTTCCTTATTATTTTATGTATGTACGCATACATACCATCGAAAATAAAATGATGATAAAACTGTTTAGTTTACTTTTGGGGCCGGCAAACTGCACAGATCAACGCCGTTCTCTTCTTTGCGGTTATTTTCTTTTCCTTCTCGCATATAGTTAATTTTAATGTATTTTTATTACCAAGTTAGAATCACGTCAATTAGGCTTTCAGTCTTAAGATAACCGACTCTCTAGTTTTTCTTTACTTTTCCCAGCCTCCTTCAGGGCCTCGTCAATTAAGTATAAAAAATGTACATTTAATACACAAGCATATAATAAAAATATATACTTTTAAAACAGTTTAGTCCGGTTTAACAGTCCCACTGTCCCAGAGTTATGAATTTTCCTCAGTGTAATTTGGGCCAACTATTCATGCTAATGAAATACATTCACACACCATGATATTCCAAATACCATATAAACAAATAAAGTAACCAAATATTATTTAATCATTTTATACCTTTTTTTAAAGCAGTTTTTGGTTTTTCCATTAAGCAGGTTATTTGGTATGAACCAAATAAATTCATACACCTGCCTAGAGTACTCGATATTCTTCGAGAATCTAAGCGTCTAGCAATTCCATTCACGCTAATAAATTACATTCACACTGCCCCCAGTGTACACGATATTCCTCGATGTGTCCTGGGATCGAGAGGTCGGGCCCCTCCATTCTCGCTAATAAATACATTCGTTCCAATAAATTTCAAATGGACAAATATAAACACGCAAAGATCTATATACAGTTAAGTATATTTATAGTAGCCTGCCCATAGGCCATTATTGTTCCGAAAAACCAAAAACTGCTTTAAAAAAAGGTATAAAATGATTAAATAGTATTTGGTTACTTTATTTGTTTATATGGTAACAACCATTTAGTATGTAATCCATTGGAATAAGGTTGTTTACTAGTTGTAATGCTTATGGAGCATATCATTTAACCTTCAATATTTCTCACAATTTTAATAGATTGGCAATTCCAGAAAATGCTGCGATATATTTTATCTTCGATAATACGTAACTGACTTATTTATGCTTATCACCAGAGGCTCAGTTTTCAGTTGTTTTTTTCTTTCTAAACTGAGTTATATTTTTTATACTTTTTAACCATCTATCTATAAATATACAATTAACATGAAGTTTTTACATGCAAGATAAGATATAACATAGAAAAACATAACTGTATAATTTTTTATTCGTACAGCTTATGTTTGTTATATTTCAATCATTGAATTTTTATGGTCAAGACGAACTTGTAAAATTCTAGGGATTGTTAATTTTTTTTAAATCCTGTTCATTGCAATTATAACTAATCAATATCTAAAAGAAATATAAGCGTTTAGTCGAAGATGTGAGAGAATGGGAACTGGCCAATAACGATGTGAGCTCATCAAAAGGCCAGTAGATTGTACAATTTAATTTTCTCTTATTAACTCTTAAATTATTATTTTTATTAATGATTGGGCGTTCTATTTAGTTACTAAAGGGTTTTAACCTTAATTCACATAGTAGTTTTTTTAGAATATTTATTTTGTTTAACAACTTGTTTGGATCAGTTTTACAAACTGGACCTGATTTGATTCTGGAATATCTTTTTATTCACACAACCAGCCTGATGATGTAAGAAATAATAAATTTTATCCGCGTGCCAGTTGATTATGTTTAATTATTAAAATTCGCCGTTACTAGATATAATGTACACTCTGCGTGTTTAGCTTCAGTTAGGGTTCATTGGATGCGATATAACATGAGATGTTTAGACAAAGTTTATTTTAAAGGCGACCCGGACGAGAAAAAAAATGTATCCGATTCGTAAATAATTTAAGCAATTTGCCCAATTTCCGAAATTGCTGGTAGACACGAAATAGTTTGATAACGTGTTACCTCGAGGCGTGTTTAATGTTTTTCATAAATTCCGTTCCTTTTGAAGGAATAACATCAGAATTTTTCATATTAAAACTACTACATTTTTTTAAATTTGAAAATATAAATTTAAATTCTTGGAACATTTGTAGAAGTTATAATTGAGAGAATAATATATATCTGCTCGAAGGAAAGAAGCAGTGCAATGATGGGCTAGTAGAAATGATTGCACTTCAGAATTATTTAACATGGAAGGTTAATAGATCTATCTATTCCCCATCAATTATACAAAGAAGTAAATTACAGCCAGGATGAAAATTACATTTCCAACAACTGGTCGGGCTTAATAAAAGCGTTTATGAAACTGACTAAACTGTTATTAAATTTGAATTGTAAAGGATGTCGAGATGAAATTTATATTTTATATTATTTATATTTTGCTGTAAAAGATTTGTAATTATTTACTATAAAACACAGTTATTGTAAAAAGTAAATAAATGGAGAGAAGCGTTGTCGTAAGAGAGAAGAAGTAAAAGCTTTCTCTTGTTCATTATTCTTGTTTGTGTGCATTGACAATTTTGTACATACATCGAAAGCTCTTCAACTTTTAAGATCTTGTTTGTTTCCAGATTGTGTCATTTTGTTTAGTGTTATTAGGTCATTATTTTTATTATTACTCACTAAATATTTCACACGTAACTGCAAATAAATAATATTTTTAGGTTTTAGGCAGGTTTTTAGTTGTATTTGACGAGAATTTAATTTTCTTTTCGCTATCAGAATGGATTATAGTAAAAATTTCCATTTATTTGAAAAAGTACTACTTATGTGGAACTTTCTCAGCCGGCTCGAGGTCATGAAACCATCGGTTGTGGTGGCTCGAAAATAATGAAGGGTGGTGTTGCAAGACAGGTGGGAGACTTCCTGTTCAGATGTTCGCTTCCGGAGCTCATCTCTGGCCGATGTTAATTTTTTTCCCCCAAACTGTTACAGCCGATTGGAATTAATTAGGTTTTTATAAATGTCTTAAATAGCCGTGGGCGACCATGAATTCCTATCAAATACGTACTTAACAGTTTTTTTGTAAATCCAATAAGTCTCGTTAGCCAATAAGCGGTTTATATAAAACTATTAATGATCTAGTACTTTTAATTTATAATACTTCCTAGTAAGTATTATTTCATAGTATAATTTATGCAGTACTTATACCATTTTATTATATTTTTTAATTATCAAAAAAAGCATCTTTAACACTGAATTTTAAGTATATCACTACTTCCATATTTTCCAGGACATATTATTTCTTTTACTGTTTGCTTTCTCTTTGTCTCCATTAGTTAGTTTCCCCCACGTCTCTTCCAAGGACGTTCTTTGTGAAACGAATTGGTGAACTCACGAATCTCCTGTTTCCTCTCCGATCTTTTTCCTTCGGGTGTGTGTTATTAACAAGATATCTTCCACTTTCGTCGAAAATATTTGGGACTTCTATCAAAATGCCGTTGTGACCATTGTCAGGACAGTTTTCCTTGGAAAATGCTCTGTCTGTTTTTAAACTGGGTTTATTGTCACTCGAAATATTAACCCTGAAAGAAAATTAAATGTTTATTTTATTTACAGCAAGAATTGTGTATTGTACATGAAAACAATTAATGTACAATTAATTACATACCTTCATTTCATATCAAGCTGTACTAATCTTGTAATAGCTTCATGCGGACATAATGCAACATTGATGTTGAGAGTTGGATATTTATTATGTACCATTTGTTTCCTTACGCTTCAAACCTGCTGGTTTAGTTTAACAAAATATCACGAAAACCCATCTTATAAAACATTGTCTTGGCATAAAAAATGAAATGGTTTATTCAAATCTAATGCTTAAACACGACATACAATTCAAAATTGAATATTCCAATATTTGTCGATTTTAACTACGAGTGAACTAAACTTTTGACAATATTTTTACAGATAAACCACCAAGTGGGGGACAAAGGAATAGCCATGGAAGCAGGCCCATCAAGGGCAATCAATCCTCCCAGCAGTCAACGGCAGTACCTTCGGCATCTTCATATCCTGTCATAAGCACGACGTCGAAGTAAGTTTCACCTATCTATTTTTGTTGTTGTTGTTTTCGGAGGATGAAAGATTAAATTATATAAACAGAGGAATTGATGAAATACGCTGAAGTTTCCTGTTGATAATGTATACATTGAAATTTCATGTTGTTTCATCTTTTTTGTTTCATTCGCTTTCGAAGCGTTTTCATAGAATGATTCATTTCCTTGTTTTGCCCAGGATTTTACCACAAATAATAAAACTGTTTCTGTCTGAAAGTTGTGAAAAGGCATAAAATTTCTTTGGACATGAAAATTAATATTCTCGTTTCAAATTAGCGTCTAGAAATTTCATCTTTCAATTTCATTCTCGTTTCGAAGGCGTTCATGTGTAATCTTTGTTTCCTTCTTATTCGTGGTTTTTACACGGATAAACGATTTGTTTTATCAGACCGTTTTCGTAGACAGAATTACAATTTTATGGGACCAGAGGATTAATATCCTAGATTCAAATTAGTGTCTGGAAATTTCACCTTTTAATTTCATTCTCGTTTCGAAGGCGTTTATGTATAATCATTTGTTTCTTTCTTATTTATGGTTTTTATATGGATAAACGAATTGTTTTATCTGACTGTTTTCATAGGCAGAAATACAATTTTATGGGACCAGAGAATTAATATCCTAGATTCAAATTAGTGTTTGGAAATTTCACCTTTTAATTTTTCGTTTCGAAGGCGTTTATGAAAAATCATTTGTTTCCTTCTTATTTGTGGGTTTTACATGGATAAACGGATTGTTTTATCTGACCTTTTTCGTAGGCAGAATTACAATTTTATGGGACCAGAAAATTAATATCCTAGTTTCAAATTAGTGTCTGGAAATTTCACCTTTTAATTTCATTCTCATTTCGAAGGCGTTTATGTATAATCATTTGTTTCCTTCTTATTTATGGTTTTGACACGGATGAACGAATTGTTTTATCTGTACGTTTTCATAGGCAGACATACAATTTTATGGGACCAGAAAATTAATATTCCCGTTTAAAAGTTGAATCTAGAAATATCTTTCAATTTCATTCGCTTTCGATACGTTTTTTGTAGAATATTTCATTTCCTGTTAATCCTGATTTTTCCACAAGTAATCAAAATGTTCTGTTCAACTGTTTAGCGGACAGCAATGATTATATCAGTCCTGAAAATTAATATTCTCGATTCAAACTAGCGTCATGAAATTTTATCTTTTAATTTCATTCCTAACTCTTTCATTTCCTCCTGCCTCCTGGTTTTTCCACAATATCCTTTTGAATATACCATTGTGACAGGTGTGGTGGCAGGTGATTGTTGCAATATATTTTTACCTGGACGTAACTGCTTGTGTAATGATATGGTTTTTTTTCTGTTTCCTTCTTCATCTCTCACCTGCTTTGAGGCCATCTTCAATCAATTAAATACAAATTTACATGAAAACCACTAATCCATATAATACTTTTAAATGTTTTACTTTCAACTAGGGGTCTACTCCTGCGGTCTCTTGTATATTTATTAAAATTAAGAAGCTCGGTTGCCGCAAGGTTTAGTCTTTGACACGGTGCTCATCACTGTAAGGTAAAGGTCCCGGGTTCGAATCCAGCGGCCCTGCATTCGAACCCGACATACTTACAAATGGGCTTTTTTTTCAAAAACACCGGCACCTTGAGGGTTTATATGACCTCTGCTGTTGCGAACCCTCGTTTAAAAAAAAAAAAAATTACATGAAAACCACTAATCCATATAACACTTTTAAGTGTTTTACTTTCAACTAGGGGTCTACTCCGGGCTTCGCCGCTCTTTTTTTTTCATTGCCCACTCATCCCCTCGCGAAAAAGCCAGCAGGCGCTAGCTGTCGGAGGGTGGCGAGCAGAGCCCCGCTAGTTTTATAATAATCATAAGTTTTTGAATAAGAAAAACACGACAACTGCAAATAAATAAGCTCAAAAACTCACGCGGCTCTCGATTTTTGGCAGGGCAAAAAAACAACCTGTACCCTACTCCAACGTTTCGCTGAAAACAATATTTTCAACACTTTTTCTTTTAATTTTTATTGTATTTTACTGCCCATCTTTGACGTATACCTCGACACATACTTGTCCATGTTTAAATATTATGATTTTTGAATTTATAATTAAACTTATTTTCTCAAAACTTTGTCCTTGTGGCCAGCAAATGCTAGACGGACTCTGGGAATAGCAACCGTTAATTTTAATATAATAATGCCCCCCTCGTCTGCTCACCTCGAAACATCCTCGCGCAAATAGTTTCGGAGTGTGGCCTAGTATCCATCCATAAGGCGAAACAGTTGCGCGAGCGATTTTCGCGCAATGGAAACGCAGATAAAACTTTCCCTAGGACCTTCCCGTCCGTGATAAAAAAAAGTCCGTAACTTCGCGAATTGTAATCCGTTTTGAACGATGTTTTTTATTCGAATGGTCTTAAATAGCAGTTTAATGTTGTGTAAAAAAAAAGATACAGTACTCTCGGAAAATCTTTCACAATTTAATCCCAAGAAAAAAAGCATAAAGTAGCTAACTTACGGATTAAAATAAGTGCTGATAACAAATGTTTACAAATTTCAAATTAGGCTTATTTTGTAAAAAAAAGTTCCTTTTTCCAACGATGGCGTTTTCTTAAATTTTAAACTGATAAAATAGTGAGAGTAGTGGAAAATACTATTAAAACGTTGCATTTACCTTCCCGCTGTCTTTTTCTCTTTCCACACCATTAAAATCGTACAGGTCCTTCTCTCTCTCTCTCTCTCACACTTAAGCTACAACTTTTTTTTATTGTTATAGAGAAATTTAGATTTTCTCTATCAGTGTTTTTTAAGCCTTGTTATCGAACGTAAACACTTATTCCTACGTATTTTGTTATTGTCACATTTAATATCTTTCTGAATAAAAATAATGAATCAATCGGAATAATTGTTGGGCAAATAGTTTTTTATTAATCTATTTTTTTTTTCAAAACAATAAATACGTTTTACATAAATTACTGAAAACAATGTCCCGTTGAAACCGAACGGCCGGATGTTAAAACTTGTCTCTTTATTCTGTTCCCATTTGGATTTTGCACCTGTTTCAGCACCATCTGCGACCGAATGCCTGCTGTTTGTTTTTGTTTATTTACGTTTCTTTTTCGAGGTCTGCTCTGGTCTAATTTAATCAGACGAATATTTTATTTTAAGTAAACGTTCGTTTGTGTTGGAAAAAAAAATGTTATAGGCAGTTTTTTTGATATTAACACGTCATTTGACTCTGTTGACCATACAATACTAATTAAGAAATTATCTAGAATTGGCAACAATGGAGGAAACTGCTCTTAATCTTTTTAAATCATATCTTACTATAGGGCTCAGAAAGCTTAGAATAAGATCTTGCTGTAGTTATTATCAATTAATATGGGGTACCACAGGGTACAGTTTTATGTGCTATCTTTTTCCTTATTTATCATATTTATATTTATTTATATCGATTTATTCAAATTGAACATTTCTGAGGAAACGTTTAGTTACGCTGATGATACTACTATTATTTATTCAGCAAAAAATTTAAATGAAATTACTGACTCTGTTAATCAAGAATTTTTGAATGAAACAAAGAATGGCTTGATCAAAATTCCATGCTTTTAAATTTACAACAACTTATATCCTTTTGATTTAAAAAAAAACAACAAAAAAAACATTTATATATTCAATTAATAATACACGATTTATTCAATTAATTATAAACAAAATTTTCATTTCAAAAAAGTTGTGAACAATTAATAGAGTATATGTATAATTAAGAATAACTTGATAAAAAAAAATAAATGTTGGTAATACTCGATTTTTCAAAATAAAAAAATTGTATCAGAGGCGATTCGAACCCATGATCTTCGGATAAGTGCTCCGATGCTCTACCATTTGAGGTACTTCTCAACTTCTCATTTTGATTTCCCATTGTTATTCCAATCGTAAGCTCTCTCACCTTTGACACATTTTTCATTTTGAAAAATAGTATATAATTAATTGAATATATATAGTAAAAATAAAAATGATAATCAAACATAAAGAAAAGTTGGTACATACCGGATTTAAATAAAAGTAAAATTATTCTGATGTAAAAACATATTATATTGTTCCTACAAACCTCTTCATATTTTAACTAAAGTAAAATAGTTACGTGTTATTACTGAACCAACATTTAAACTTAATTTTTCAGAATGAAACATTGATAAAGAGAACCAGGAAACATTTACAAATTTTGAATTGTTAGAAGCATTTTTACCTTTATTAGTTTATTTTGCCCTAGCACAATCTTTATTATGTTATGGGATCACAGTGTGAGAAGGAACTATTAAGAATAAATTACATGCCCTAAAAGTCACTCAAAATTGTCTAATACAATAATTTTAAATAAACACAGAATATACATAACGAAGTTACTATACGATAAATTTAAAGTTTTAAATTTAAAACAATTATTTTTAAAATGTTCATGTCTTCGTATGTCTAAATATAAATTATTTCATAAATCCTTAAACTTACATCACATAAGAATTAAACTATTGCTGTGATTTACCAAAAATAACTACAACTAAACACTAATTTTTCTGATAGCAGGATGCTTAACTCTATTTATGCAAATATAATTAATATCAGTAATTTCAGAACATTGTTACAGTTACAAAAAATGTCTACATTCATACATTCTTGACTGAAGAGTTTAAATTTCTGTTTTACCCCTTAATTAATATTATTTTTGACTGATTTTATTATAATAAAAAGATCTCTGATGGCAGTTTATGATCAGCCTACATACTATTTATTTAATCAATTATTGCGCAGTTCAAACAGGGACGCAGCCCAAAAATTAGAACAGTCAAAATATTATAATAGTAATAAAAACATTAAGTGAAATCAGATTATAAAAAGTAAACAATGACAACATTCAAAAACACACATGTAAATAGAAAGAAGGAAAATCAAAGATTAAAATTTACAGCAGTTCAAGAGTAACATCTAAATTATTCCTTAAAAACTCGAAAATCTTTCACAATGGTATATTTTATTTTTAAAAAGAAGTATATATATATAAAACATTTTACAATAAATTTATAAACCTTTCATTATTAATTATTGTATTAATACAAACAATTTTATGTTTTTTCAGTGACTTAGTTCATGATTTGAGTATATCAGAAGACAGTGATGAAGATACGAAAGTAAGTAGCATAAAATAAAACCAACAAGAAATCACCTCAATTTACAATAATGTAACAATTTATTTTGTTAATTATAGTCAGTTACTACATCACAACAACCTGAGGTTAAACAAAGCCCAGGATATCCTGCAATGGATAAGTCTGCAATGTAAGCATATGCTTTTTTAATAAGGCATGTAAATTTTTTACCATGTTATATATTGTTTTCTTTTTTTGTTGTCAGGTTATCACCAGCTGTAAGTGTTGTACCTGAGCCTTTAGGGCCAATGTCTGCTTCCCCGCCTGGTGGGAGTTCTTCTAGTGATGATTCCGGCTCAGACAGTTCTGAATCAGATTCTAGTGCATCCAATACTGGTGGGCAAGATCTTGTGACTCCGATTCAAGAACAACGCCAGCCCTGCTGGGCTTTGAAGTCATTCTTACCGGCTCCGGCCAATCCTGAGCGCAAGACCACTCCAGTAAGTTATATAATTAATTATATTTTTGGCCGGCACTTATTTTGTTGTATGGTATTAGAGTGTATTGCAATATATTAGGAGCAATTATGTTCCTTTCTAAAGACAATTGTTAAACATAACAAGACATATATTAATAATGAAACCCGTACACAACTGTATGAAGTTTATAGATTCACTTGCATGGACTTTTGAAATGAATTTTATTTGTTTTGTGTGTATGTTGTAATATTTTAGTTGGCAATTATCAAAATATGAACATTGTTCTGCAATTGTCATGAAAGTATCCAATTTTCTTGAATAAGCATGCCCTTGTCCCTATTACAAATAAAAGTTCAACCTTTTGCCCTTATTAATATTAAAATTCTTGTATTTTTTTCTATTTTCAAAATTATTTTTGCCACTTTTCAGGAGCCACCAATAACAGAAAAGCCAAAGGTTGAAGAAGATTCAGAAATTGATATATCAGGTGTTACTAAGGCCCATCCTCTTTTGTCAAGTCTTTCTGATAGTGATTCAGAAAGAAAGGGGAAGAAAAAAGGCACCGAGAGACCCAAAAAGCGTAAAAGGGCGAATAAATTACCAGTTCTTTCTGACAGCGAAGATGAAAGTACACAAACAGCTTCAGTTGCAGAGCCCATTCCCGGACCAGAAACAAGGTTACCAACTCCTCATTCGACTACTTCTCCACGGATGCATCCAAAAACTCAGTCTGAAAGTGAAAGTGAGACGAAATCAAGACCGAAGAGAGAAGTCGCATTTCGTCGCAAGTGTAAACCCATTCCTGCTTCACCGAACCGAGTATCTTCATCTGAAAAGGGTAGAAAGAAGGCATCACAAATACCTAAGACACCTGAGAAGGAAACGAAGAAACAAAGTCGAAAAAGGTCGATCAAACCTCCTTATCCCCTCTCAGACACTGATGATGAATGGGTCAAAAGAAAACGAGTTTCTAGTTTGTCTGAATCAGACGATGAAGCTTGGAGTATAACTCCCACTGTCCGACGGCGAAGTAGTCGACGTTCAGTTAAGAGTAACTCAAGTGATCACAACCGCCGAGAGGTTTCTTGGAGTGCAAAACATTCAAGTAGCGATGATGAAAGACCCCCTCCTGTTCAGTCACCCGTCAAACCTGTCTCTAGGGTGCCTCCAGCTCCTGGAAAAAGGCCACAAGTTCTCAGTGAAAGTGACGGGGAAAAAGAAGAAAGCCCACCAAAACTAGACTCTGACGGACAATCCATTCAGGATAAGAAAAAGAACGACACTCTTCGCAAGTTGTTTTCAAAGAGAGACAACGAAGGTGGCGGTGGGAAAGGTGGGGGAAAATCAGGTGGTAAAGGAAAAGGAGGAAAAGCTGGCGTTATAGTGATAGATTGTAGCCCTGCAAGAAATCCAGTCCAACCTTCACCAAAACCTGAAAGTCCTCCAAGAGTTCCTTCACCCTCTCATGATGTAATTATTGAACCACCTGAACCAGATGTAAAGATCCCTCCTGTATGCTACATTGGAGGGAAACCGAGTGTTAAGTGTGTCATTCTATTAAATAGACTGTCATTCATACCATCTAAATCTAAATCAGAAGAAGTGAGGACCAGAACAGAGCTTGCAGACACAAGGCAAACTAAACGTTTAAATGAAGAGAAACCAACAGTGGCCGTTAGTGAGGAAAGTAGAAAAATTAAAAAAGAAAAGAAAGAGCGGAGGAGCAATAACAAGCCTCCAAAACCTGAAAAAATAAAGAAAGATAGAAAAGATTCTCCTCCAGTAGAATCTAAGGACGACGAAATAAAAGTACATCAAGCTGAAATAATAAAAAGACTCACTCCTGAGATAAAAAATGAAGCAGACCCTTCTTGCAGGTGAGATCATTTTTCCTGTGCGCTAAGCAATAGTCTTGTTACAAAAATAGTAACTTTTTTAATGTACATTTCATGTTTTTTAGCTCAACAAATGTCGGAGTAAACAGAGAGAGGGGAAACAGTTCTAGTTCCACCTCAAGTCATAACAGCTCAATGAGACATTCTTCGAAAAATTCTACTAAGAAAAAGAAACATGGGGAAAGGCCATCAGCAAGGGTAAATTGTTGAATTATCTCTCACAAAATTAACCTCAGCTTTTTTAAACTAATACATTATTACAAATTAATATTTACCTTTCAAAAATGATTTATGTTAGCTCTTCATCATAAACAAATTTTCTAATTAGTATTGATAACAGTTAATATTACCATACAATTTCTAGTCTTGGAGACTACATATTAAAAGACTTTTACATTAATATTGTTTTGGTTTTTTTAGTGTGAAGGTAGCTTAACCGATGCTCCGCCGACAAACCATGAACGGGAAAAAGAAAAGGACAATTCCCTTTTTGATAGAGATAAAATTAAAGAAAAAAATAAAGAAATACCTAAACATCAATATTTCTCATATTTTGAACAAACAGAGGATCATGATTTATCGGATACTGATGACAAGTAAGTTAAATTTTAATGCTGAAATTTTTTGCTCTGTTATGAAATAACAGAAAATTAAATTATCATTACATCTCTATTTATATATTGACATAAATTCAAATGCAAGTATTATAAAAACACCTCCCTAGTAACATATTTACATATTAATTTTCTATTATAACTTAGTTTTGTAAAGAATAGTCCTAAACAAAATATCTCATTTTCTCTGATTCATGATATTTATGCTAACAACCTAACCCTAATTAATACAATCTAACCTAAATTAACCCATGCACTGGTAACACTTGTTGGTACACATAGAATATCCAGTAATAAAAATCCTTCTTCTTAACAATTATATTTCCAATATTCCCCTTGTTCGCTTGATTTGTACCTTAGTAAATGATATATTATCCTGGCTTGAGGCTTGGAGGAGGAAAAAAATCCCTAACACTACGTAACCTAACACATCCCTAACATTAACCCTTACCTTCCCTTAATGCTAACCCTAAATAATGTAATCTGTCACCAAACCAAACTGTAACTTATCCTAATGTATCCCTAACCTGTTCATAAGATTAACCCTAAGTAACCTAACCTAACCCTAGCTTGTCCCTAATGCTAGCCCTACCTTAACTTTACTTGTGTCTAACACTGACCCGACCTAACCTAACCTCTACTCGTCCATGCAAACCCTATTTTATTAGTTAAATTTTATTAATGCATATTCAAAAATAAAAATACATAACAGCAAATAATCAGCTGTTCAATTCATCCCCACCATGTTGGTTACCTACATCCAGGTTTACCTAGGTACCTATGGCTGGGTAACAGTTGACTACTCTGCTATTTGATTTGATTTAACAGCTAACACAGGTTCAACTCTGTTAGATCGAGCAATGTTAAGTTGCTGATTCTAACAGACTTACATCATCATTTTTCTCGATTTAACACGATAGAACAAAGTCAACAGGGTTAACACAGAGATCATGAATACCCCTATTATCTTTCAATTTTAATTCTTTTGTACTATTTTTAGAGACCAGTATTTAAATGAAGCAAAAAGACTTAAAAATGGAGCAGACAAAGAAAAAGAACTAACTGCACAATGTCTGCAATATTTGGAAGCAAGCTTATACTTCCTCTTAACCGGAAATAGCATGGAACTTGATAGCAGTACAGAAAAAGCAGCTGCGACAATGTACAAAGATACTTTACATTTAATCAAGTAAGTTTTGCTGTTGATGTATATTAATAATTAATTATATTGACACTTGGACTAAACCAATAAAAGTTAGGTCATTAAATATACATAACTGAATTTTTCTCTTTTCGCTAGTAAAAATCCTAAAATTTTAAGTTGATGGTAAATCAATAGACAATCTAATTATATATTATACATTACCATTATGATAGTATACAGTTATAATAATCAATATTAAATAATAACATGTTAAATAACATTTTATGTTGTTGAGCCTTTCACTTTTTCTTTGTGTACTTTAAACTCTTGTATTCATTTGTATATGTTTTTTTAGCTATATCACGACAAAAATTCCATACCAGCAAAGTAATTCTACTTTTCAAGAAAATATTAATAGCAAATTGGTTGTTTTGAGGTAAGTTTTAGTTTAACTTTGATACCTTACAATCGGAAACATGAATTTGTTTATTTATTATTTTTATTTTCTTTAGTCTGAGGTGCCAGTCATTGCTGTACTTAAAGTTGTTTAAGTTGCGTAAATTAGAAGTGAAAGAATGTCAACGAATTATTGGCGATTACATGCAGAAGGTAAGTTCAGCCACTTTTATTTTCAATTTCCCCCTATTTGCAAACTTTCATTTTTTTTTTTTTTTTGCGTATCTATTTTCCCACTCCTCCTTGGGGAAATCAATTCTCTGAGGTGCTTGTTTCATTTTATAAATTTTTCATCAGATTTGTATACCAAATAATTCTGTATTATATCCGCTATTGGTAAAATCATATTTCAAAGCGATTATGTAAAAGATTAAAAAAAAAAAAAATAGTTCCTTCAATGTTTTTAATGAGGTTTTTTTTTTTTTTTTTTAATATTTACAGGCCAGTCCTCCCACAACTGTAGAACAGTGTGGTTCAATGGTGCAAGGTCAAGGGACCCCTTCTCCGCTTTCCCCAACTCCTTCACCAGCTGGAAGTGTTGGTTCAGTTGGATCGCAATCTTCAGGATACAGCAGTGGTGAATTAAGAGGTGGCTCTTCTACACAGCCACAGCCTCACCCGCCCATAGCTCCTTGTGGCCCATGTATGGCAGTGCCTCTACAAATCCACGCTGCACTTCAAAAACAAAATGCTACATTTCAATCATTAATAACATCGTACGATTTATGGGATCAAGCAGATGCACTTATCTACAAGGGTAGACACAAGGGTAAGTTTTGTATTATTTTTGTGACATTTTATTTCAGACAATTTTTTCAAATTATGTGTTCGAATCCCGTTCATGACTAATTTTTCATCTCAACCAAAAACCTTGGATAAAAAGAATAATTAATTGAAATAATTATGTATAGTATAAAAAAAAGAGCCTAATGCTCCCTGCGATAAAATATTATTCCGGTCCAGACTTTATAGATACCCTAGCTGAACTGATTTAATTGTTTAAAGTAATGGCCATGTACGCAACACAGTCAACATGTTAATGTTCTATACGATTAATGTCAGGAAAACAGGCTGGCCAGTTTAAAGGAAGGTTTATGTTATAAGAAAATTTTATGCGAGCCAATTATAAGTGCATTTGAAGAAATTTATCACTAATTTCAGAGATTTTGCCAACACTAGTCATTACAATATTTAATATAATTAATATTTACAATAATACTTACAATATTTAATATTTATGTTACAAGAGAATATTATGCGAGCCAATTATAAGTGCATTTGAAGAAATTTATCACTAATTTCAGAGGTCATTACAATATTCAATTCAAATATGAAGTGCATCCACAGCCAGGTTCCAATACTGTATGGCACCCCAATAAATGCCCCTCACTCCATTAAAATTATTTATCCATTAATCTCATTTTCTTCCCCATATACTTCAGCACCATCTGAAATTTGTAGAGCAGCTTAGGTTCATCAGTAAATAGTTCAGCTATTGCTACGAAAATCTGGGTGTACAATCATCCAGTACATTGTAGTTCTAATATTTGACTGGGCAGAAATTCATTGGCCTGTATTATTTAGAAGATTTGGATGGCTTCAACATGAAGTTGTAGAACTGCATGAACTACAGTTTAGTTGGATGTAGTTAATCCATTGCCGAAAATCATTTGTCAAGATACTCGTAACTCTCACTGCTTCTCTCTCTTAAAGTTTCATTAGGCTGTTGATAATGTACCTACTTGAATTTCTTCTGAAGTTTGTACTTGCCTTGCTGTCATATTGACAGTACAAAATTTCTCTGGTGTGCTATGCTGTTTCTTGTGCAGTTTCATAAAGCTATTGATAACATGTACTTCTTTGTGCTTCTCCTGAAGTTAGAGAACTGTGTGAACTACTGTCTGGCGGCAGTTTGCCCATACCGTAGAATCTGACTTTTTACAAAATCTACTTTAAACGCCTCATTGTTTTTGTAAGATTCGTTAGGCTCCTGAAGTTGAAGAACTACATGAACTACAGTCTTGTAGTTTGTCTATAAAAATTCATCCTTATTCCTTGTAAATAAATTCATTTATTAGAGAACCACAGTGGCCGAGAGGTCAGGGCGTCCTTGTATTTGCCACGCTAGTGGTTTTTTGTTCGAACCCAGCAGGACCTGGGCATTTTAATTGATAATGGGATAAAAAATGCAATGTAAAGTGTTTTGACATCTCACCCGGGACACCCACTGGGTAGTTGGATGTTAAGCCGTTTATGTGTTAGATACGGCTGTTTAATTTACTACATTTTTTATACAAGTTTTAATCACAAATTAATAAATTTCTGACCTTTAGAATTTTGCTTTGTAGGTTTTATGAATATATTTTTAACATGTATTTTGTTTTCAGAATTCTTCATTGAACTGGACCGTACTTGTGGACCATTGACCTTTCATAGCTCTATTAAAGATTTGGTAAAGTATGTGAAGGTCGGCATAAGTCGATTACAAGAATTAAGAAATGAATCTATGTGATTTCATAACTAAATTATTCAAGATAAAAGGCATGTTTCTTTCTCTGAGGGGTATCATTTAAAGAGGTTTTTTTCTATATACCTCAAGTGCCCAAAAATTATTTGTTATTGAATAAAATATTATTACAAAAAAAGTGGTTTTGCTTTAATTTATAAAGGCATAATTATTGTACATTGTTTAAATAATCATAGGATAAGTTTTCTTTGTTTATTAGTTGAATTGGTGATTGACTCGCCAGTTTTTACCACATGAAAGTTACCTTACATAAATGTAAAGTGCACAAATGGTTGTTGGGGTACATTTAAAATTGTAAAAAGAAATGTTGTTTATATTCATTGTTTTCCAGTCTTCCCCTATTAAATTTTAGATAATATAAATATTGTATCATGATAACTTTCTTATTGTTATGTAAGTTCATTAATTATTTGTACCTTTGCATTATATTTATCTTTTGATCACTTTTTCTAAGTGTAGTTTGTTTTTTTGTGAGTTGTTATTGACATTCGTTACTTTTTCTGTAAATAAGTAAAATTTAAAGAAGCAAAACCAAATTACTTTAAAATTCAATATATTTGAAAAATTTAAACCTAGCACATATGAAATTTATGTGGCATAGGTGTACACTATACACATTTGTACTGTGTAGGGACCAAAAGCTCATATTGTTTTTTTTAACCTTTTATTAAGTTGAGATTGAAAAAACTATATATTAAAATAAACAGTGGAAATGATACATATTTAGACCAATGAAATATTGAACACGGAAGGACAAGAAGGGTTGTAATTCTACAGATGAATTAACTTATGTAATAAACATATATCAAGAAATATAAATTTATACAATTGTTTATCCCGACATCTTTTTTTCATATTCTTTTTAAATTATATAAACTGAATGTTAAGGCAACTTAAATATTCACTTGTATTATTTGAGCTCCTTCCCTCCCATTACTAAAACATATAATGATAGCCTATTAGACCATTATTATAAGCCTTTTGATTTGATTCATATCCTGGAAACAAAAGATAGTGGCAAAAGTAGATTTATTTGAAACAAATGTAACTTTTACGATTTTTCTCTAATTATAGGGGAAAATGAGTTAGTTTAAACCCAGATTTTTCACTAAAAATAACAATGTTAGATCAACTTTCAAAAATAAGCTTTTAATTCTCATGCATTTTTCATTGTGTTACAAGTCATAATTTGTCATTTGAAAAAAAAAAAAAAAAAAAAAAATATGGACACGTAATTTAATTGAAACAAATTTAGCATAAACCAGTAAGCCAACACAATATTAACATTTCATTTTTAATACACCCAGTGATATTTTGCTATTTAAGAAAAAGGCTTTTTTAACTTTAAATAACTGACTAATTCGTATGTGAATTAAGGTACAATTAAAACTTAAATTTTAATTTTAAAAAAAGAAGAAATGCATGAACACAATTTTTTTAACCAGTCAATCACAAAAGTATTAATGAAATATTTTATCAATTTTATTTCTATACATCTGAAACTTTTTTTTTGGATTTTACATACATTTACAAAGTACATTCATGAACCAAATACAAAACCAAAATAATCAATCTTTCTAAAGATTTAACGTTAGAACTGAAGTTAATAAGCCCTTCTTTGACCTTTTAATGGTTCAATTTCAAATATGTACGTATTTATCAATTTAAACAATTTTTAAAAATATTACAAAATATGTCATTTTGTTTATCTTTCAAAGTTGAATTTGAATGCCATTCTACGATTATTCCCACTGTAAAGAAGAAATATTCGTTATGTAATTACCATATTGAAGATTTGTTTATTTTACTTTACATGGCATCAGTGCAAAGAGCCAAAAAAGATACACCTGTTTTCTTAATATTTTCATATTTTATGCAATATTTATTTATAATTCAAGGGATAATTCTAAATTGGATGCCATAGTGCCTGCAAAATATTGAATGTTGAAACAGCTTAAATTGGTTTTAAGTTTTGTGGCATTGAATGAATTGCTAAAATATGGTGTCTTGTACGAATTAATAGTTAAACATTACCATTTGGTCGAATTTAATTTAAACATAGTCATGGTTCGATGTTTATAATTAGAACTGAAAATTAAATGATTAAATACCGTTACAAATAATCCCCCAAAAAATTACGTTTGTTGTTTATGTCCAATTCATATGTTATTTTTAAACATTGTAATCATACAATTAAAAATAGTATATAGATATAATCTTGTATTATGGATTTTAAATTTTAATCAATCCGCTGGGAAATTAATCATTTCAAAATTATATGAATTTTGTGAATGTAAATGAAATCAAATGTACTTAGTTTTTATCCTGTTGGTTCCTAACAAGAGAAATGACCAGAACATTTTTGTCTGAATTATTTATTTCACCGGTCGTTTAGCATAGTAGCCTTGAAAGTGATATGTACATTGGAATATATACTTATATATATTACATATATATAATATAAGGATTTTGAAACTGGGATTCAATAATTTAATTTCTCAAAATTCACATCTTGAGATTTTAATCAGTTATTCTTTTGGATTATATTTTTATAAATATATTTTGTACTTTTTTATACATAATTTATATTCATATTTTGCAAAGAAATTTAACTTAAGAGTTTTTTTAAAGCAACATTTTTAATAGTTTTTCTCTGAAACAACCTTTTTATCGTTTTTTTAAACAAAGTCAATTAATTGTTTTAATTTCCATAATGCTTGATCCTTTTATTATTCTAAAATTAACAATGTATTTTGTCAAATTTTTACTCTAATGAGTAATTTTAGAAATAGGGGAGAAAATCCAACATTTTATTGTTAACAGAGATGTACATTGAGTTCTATATGATAGATGTCTTCGGACACATATTACTCACCTAATACGTTGTAAGATTCAGAATAGTTTATTTTGTAAGCTTTGTAAATGGAAATGTTTAAATATTATAAATATATACAAAATATATGTATGTATATACACAGTATACACTGTGAAATATTCTGAAAATTTTTTTTCTTGGAGTAGAATTAATTAGTCATATGTGTATATTTTTGTATATAACTGGATTCTATTTAATATAAATATGAAGATTTAACTGGTAATTAATGTTAGAGTAGATAAATAAATGGGGTTATGATAGAGCAAATATAATGTAATGTATGGTACTTACTGCATGGTGCACATTAAACAAAAACAAAAAAAAAGCAAAAAAAAAATAAGGCCAAAGTACTTGGAAAAAGCATTATTTATTTATTCATTGCTAATAATTAAACTTTTATATTCCTGTACTAAAAGTTTTAAAGTAATGACTATTCTAAGTTCATATTGATTTTCTCTAGCGTACAAAAATCATTGTTTAAAAAAACCTATGTCGACTGAGGTATTTTACAGTGCAACATATTTTATTGTCTTAAATTGAACTTGATTTCCTACAAGCATGAGTGATCAATACTAGTTGAAAAGTATTGCTATTCACTAATAAAGGATGTAGATTAATTATTATTTATTTAATTGTTTGTTATATGTAATTATGAATATTATATGAATCATTTTGTGTTTTGTATTTTTGTAATTTATTACTTCCCTCCCAAACCATTTTTATCCTTTCTGAACTGATGGTGAATACGGATACTAGGAAGTCAGGTTTTTGTTCACCAAGCACTGCAGTCTTGTGGCTTACTGTATCTTAACTAGTTTCTTAGTTCAGTGCAATTGAGTTGTTGCTACAATTTTCAGTGGGTTTTCTTTGCATCCCAGGTTGTCTCCTTTGAGCAGTTGCTTTGTATTTGAAGATCATATGGGCGGCTATTTCTTCTTCTTCATTGCATAATCTACAAATGGGTGTCATTATTGAATATACCAATGTGTAGATGTTTTCTGAGATGCTAGTTACCGGTAGTCCTACCACTCCTCTAAGTTTAGCTCTCTCGAACTGTAGGCAAAGTTTGCCAGTCTTTGTGAGGTTTTTTTTTAGCATAACTTTATAGTATCTAGCACCCCTTGATTTTATCCACTTTTAATTTTGTATTTTTTGGATCCATTTTGTGGTGGAGGATTCTGTTGGATTTTTTTTATCACAAGAATTAATTCAGGGATATGGTCTTGGAGACCTACTTTGGGCAGTGTACCTGTTTTTTGTTACCCAAAATTCCTTTGTATCTTGGTACCAAGATATCAGGTTGTTGTTTCCTCAGGTTTTAGAGATTTTGGTTGGATTCACTCACTAACTATGATGTGATTTTGTACATACTAATGCGTTACTAGCTGCGTGGCTATCCGATCTATAAGGATTGTTGTCATTATAACCTCTTTGACGATTTTCTAAGGCACAAGCGTTGATGGCATGTATTTTAGCTTAAAATACCAAGGTGTTCTCCAATGAGTATGGTTGTTCATATTTTGTAAACACCTGATCCGGCTCCATCATTGTTTTTGAGCCATCTGTATACCATGTCGTTGTATCTGATGTTCCCCTGAATTCTTCTCCTTTGTAGTCTGTTAACAATTTTATAGGATGTAAAGAGTGTTGTTGGAATCATGTAATCAGTTCTCATTTCTAAGAATGGGTGTCTGATTTATTAGTTATTGTTGTGTGAGCTTTTTCTCACGACTCCTTGCATGAATATTTCCAAGGGAGGTAGGTGAGATAAGTTAAGCAGTGTTTCTAGTGCAATTGACGGGGTTGTTTTCATTGTCTTTGTGTGTTGTCTAATGCTGGGTAGCTTGTTTTTGCTGAACTTTGGCTCACAAAGTGAGACATAGGTTACTTTGTGTCTTGTAACTGCCGTATATAGGCTATTTTCGGTTTCAGTCTACAATATTTGCCTAGTATATTTCCTTGTGGCCATTAGTGTGCAGGTGAGGGTTCCAGTTTAAATTTTATCAATGTTTATTCCCAGATATTTAATCACATTGTTACCTACAGCATTTCATTATTGAAGCATAGACCTAGTATTTCTAGGTTTCTTTCCTTGCAATGCAGTTAGTGCAGTTTTGAGGACTTTGTGTTAAGTGCCTATAGTGAACACCATTTTTCTACCATGTTGAGTGCTGTTTGGGTGAGCCCTTTTAGAGCTCCATTTTTCTACCATGTTGAGTGCTCTTTGGGTGAGCCCTTTTAGAGCTCCATTGCTCCACCATGTTGAGTCCTCTTTGGGTGAGACCTTTTAGAGCTCCATTGCTCCACCATGTTGAGTCCTCTTTGGGTGAGCCCTTTTGTTGAGAGGGGAATTTTTCCCTTACAAGTATATAATGCCATTAGCATAGCCCTGCATATAGATTCTGCTTTTATTCAGTTTGCTTATGAGGTCCACAACCACATCCCACAGTAGAGGTGAGGTTACTATTTGCAGACATCCTCTCGCCAACACTACTACTACTTTTTCATGGAACATGGAGGCCTGCATTTTCTCCTTTTTGCATTGATTCTATCCATCTGCAACAAGTTTTGGAAGTTCCTGGATGTCTCAGTAATGTGGCCCTTGCTTCAAAAAGTGTATTATCAAATACTTAAAGAAAATTTCTCAGCGCTGTTTGGTCGTTCAGTGAATCTTCAGTTTTTGTTCCCTGTTGGTCCCAAATGTGTTCGATTGGGGGTTCAAATCTGACTTCGAGCTGGCCACACCAAGCATTCAATTCTAACCTCGTTCATAATACGTGCTCTGTGAGGCCTGGTATTATCCCGCATTAGCAATAATGATGTATATTGATAAATAAACCCACAGTGCAGATCATAAGGATGATGACGATATTCACGAAAAAATCCCAAGCGCGTATGAGTTTTCGTCGCACTTGTATCGAAAAATCATTGTTCAAAAATATCTGTACAAAAGCAATACGCGCAGAGGGAACGCTATACTGCTCGATCGGATTGACGTTCTCGAACTTACTTTGTGACTAGCGAGTAGACAATAAACTTTGTAACACCGAAACCGCGTATGATGATTGATTCAACATTCGGGCTCATACGAAACGGAGGAATCTGCATTAGGTACCATGTTGTGTTCCTATTTTAGAATAGAATGGAATAAAATGATAATTATATTTACACATGTGCAGATTTTAGAAACAACAGAACAATTTATGTGTACATTTGCGCCAGCTGTCAAAAGAACTTCTTGCTATACCTAAATATTTACACTATCTACAAAATTAAATAAATGGTACATGGCATTTGTACAATCAATTTTGGAGTTTTAGAAAGCTAAGCACTCTCTAGTATGGATT